TTCAAATATATATCCGATACCCCAGTCTCCACTACAAAGGTTAAATGGAAAGAGGACGGTAACTTGGTAAGTCCCTTGCACCGACATCCTCATAATTTTAGCGAAAGAGGTTTGGATAGCATCGTATTGTGTCATCGAGTTACACGACGTGGAAGAAGAGAGCTGTTTTGCGTCCTCTGTACAATTGTCGCAGCCCAAATTGATATCCGAACAATTTACATACAGTACCTTTTTTCGCATCTTTCGCCATTTTCGCTATAGACTACTACCATCTCAAACGGAGCTACGAGAGGCACTATCTCAAGCCGGTCAGGAGAGGCGCACTGTATCTCTCATAGTTCGGTTTGAGATGGTAGTAGTGGTAGATTATTATTGCGAAACAAGGAGGGGACAAGGAAGTGACGATGTCGGCGACTTTATACTTCGCTACTCGTGATACGGGAGCGGGAGGTTACACACTCGACTACCAATTGGAACCCAGACAGAGCACTATCCTTTAAAAGGCTAGCTGAAGAACTCACCATATCTGGTTCAAAGGCTAGGCTCAATGCGGATAGACTCCCAAGTACCTTTTCAGAGAGCAAAATGTTTGGCTGATCTCCGAACAAAAGAACGCAGCACGCTCAGTCATCATCTTCATCAGCTTCCTACTCCAATCGTACAGTATGGAGACCCATAGCAAAATGCGCACCTTACCCTCTTGTCCTAGCCATCCGCCCATACTCACAGTGACACGCTCAACGACCTCAACTCTGCCCTCCATAATCCACCATGAGCACTCTCAACGCATCTGCCGCTGCCTCCCCCTCCTCGCAACGACTGCTCGATAAGACCGCCATCATCACTGGCGCATCATCAGGTCTTGGACGCGCGATCGCGCTTACGTACGCAACACACGGTGCCGCTGTCGTCTGTGCCGATCTGCGACCCGTTGCAGAAGTTCATGTCAAAGAGGGGGATACTAAAGCTACACACGAGGTGATTCTCGAGAGCGGGGGGAAGAGTCTGTTTGTCGAATGTGATGTTCGGGACAGTCAGAGTGTGCAGAGCCTAATCGCGAGGGCCGTGGAGGTCTATGGCAGGCTCGACATGTGAGCTGGCCCGATCAACGCTATTCTCCCACCTACACGCCACCTGCAAGCCGCAGGGCTGACAAGTGGATGACAGCATGGTCAACAATGCCGGCATCGGCCTCGAAGTCCCCCTCCTCCTCCCTGTCCACGAAACCCCCGACTCGACCTTTGACACCACCATGTCTGTCAACTCCCGCGGCGTGTTCCTCGGCTGCAAGTACGCTGCCCAACAGATGATCACCCAAAATCCCTACCCGAGCGGCGATCGGGGCTGGATCATAAATGTTGCATCAGTGGCGGGAGTGGTGGGCCTGGGTGGAACAGTGTCCTATTCAGCTTCGAAAGGGTCAGTGGTCCAAATAACTCGGACGGTTGCTCTGGACTTGGCACCATGGCGCATCCATTGCAATGTTCTGTGTCCTGGCTGTGAGTGGAACACTATACTTCGATGGGACGGGGGATGCTGACTGTTGGCCTTAGTCACAAAGACGGCTATGATTAAACCATTGACGGATGTTGAGGCGACGCAAGCTCGGCTTGGGGCAATGCATCCCTTCAAAGGCCTCGGCGAGCCAGAGGACATCGCGAAGGCGGCCCTTTTCCTGGCAAGTGATGATGCGAGTTGGGTCTCTGGAGCAGCGCTGCCTGTTGATGGTAAGTCTTCGCTTGGGTGTTTGGTGTCTATATGCAGCAAGCTTACTCACCCCCAGGTGGCTACACTGCCCAGTAATCCCTCCTACGTACCGCGTCTCATATACATGCGCTAGAAAGAATAGCCTTCGAATGGAAACGTCGCCGCGCCGGTATCGGTGCCTCTTCTGGGGGGGAAGTGCGGCGAGAGGTCGGCGTTGGGCTGGGGCCACATTTCGACTACAATCCCAGTTCTTCTGACCCTATCAGAAGTGCAAGCTTAAATCACGCGCAGGAAGTTTCCGGATGGTCCATGTTCTCAGTCCTCGGTCTTTTGGCTTCTGAAGATCACTGTGCGGATTACGATTTCATTCTGCTAGCTACACGATCTTTGACTCGATGATCGCCATATCCAGTATCATAGAAGCTATCAGACTCTTCCGTCAAATAATCAGATACCTCCGAGTCCATATAGCAGATTTGTTCTCCACTCGCTTTGCACTCCATGTGGTTGCAGTCTTCCGACCTCTGAGTTGTTGACCCACACTGCGCGCACTCCATCGCATCAAATTTCTCCTTCGATGTCGCCAAGTATAGCACTTTTGCATTGGTTGGATCAAGGCTTTCATGGTTGAGAGCTCCGCATTTGGTGCAGGTTAAGGTGAGGCACGTAGAACATGTGTACATTTTGACTACATCTGACTTTTCCTACCTCTGATCGCAATCCGAGGCCCTACAGTACTGATAGCTGCCTTAACATGAATAAAGGTAGCACGTGGGGGACTCCTCGAGCGTGGTGTTCATATCAGTAGCTTGACTGGACTCTTCCCCCATAATAGCTCTTGCCCAATCGGCATCGTCAGATGATCCGCGCAAGGGAGTTGTATCTGCGCTCGTCATGACGTTTAAGCAAAGGTGTGGAAGAATCCCCTATTTAATGGAAGCAGCCATGCGACCGCTGCCAGATGGAGTATTTATAAGGTTATCGTAGTTCAGGCGCTGTGCACGTGAGGAGACTTGATGACAGCTACGTACAAAGTCCAGGTCAGCACACCATTGTCGAGTGGCGAGAACTTTGAAGTATCTGTAGCCTGGAAGCTATGTGGTGAAGGGTTTTGCGTCGTAAACCAGAATGATTGAGCAACTTAGATAGTCGCGGACAGTCCGAAGGCCGAAATTTTATGCTGAAGAGTACAAGTAAGGGTCTCCAAGTCAGTCGAGTCCGAATCACGGTGGATGTCTTTGAGCGAAGCAGTTGCATTGGGAGAATCTCCGCCACTTGATGAGGGACAGTTGCGACATATTATCTTCACTTTGCCAAACAGACTAGGTGTGTGTGTGTGGCTTGAATTATACTGCGGGACAGGCGTCAAAGCTCAGAGCAGTCCACTCATTAACTAGCTATAAACTACAGGTATCATCATCGAGTGTGGATCCTTAGGGTTAGGTGGATTTGTGTATTGATGTGTCAGAAGAGAGTGTTTCGTGCTCTGTGGGTCAGGGCTCTCTCCCAAACCCCTCCAGTAGCGCACGGTAGCGGCCGGCAACGCTAAGTGCTAGATAGGTCACTTCTCTTTTACGTCTACCGTACCTCGATGAAAGATGGAAAGATTATGGCCGGGAGAGGTTCATAGTAGTGAGCGACGAGGAAGGGTGGCGAGAGAAAATTCTAGAAGCGGCAGACGACGAGTAAAGCATCGGATGAGGATAGAGAGGGCAGACAAGTCACGAGCACACCTCATCCGCCGTCTGAGCAGTAAGCATTCTTGCTGCGAATCAAGTGGAATCACCACTCGATAAACCTAGAGAGAGTGCTGAAAGACCGTGTTGATGTCACTCAAGGAAATACTCATTCTGACGTCCATCATTGGGAGACAAGTATTCAAAAATTACTCAACCTGATCAGCTCATTGCCACTGGATAGTTTCTGAAAGCGGTGTCAAGTTGAACAGAAAGAAGAGTTGTGGTCAAAGTGTGCCAGAGTCGTTCTCGCTCGGAATCATCTGAAACAGTCATCCGGTAAGATGATACAAAGATCTCACTGGAAAGGATATTCAAGGAGTCCTATCACTTTAAGAGCGGAGATAAAGCCGTAAATGATGACGGACGTTGAGAATAGGCGCCACTCCTCAGCCGTCTGGATTGGAAGCATTATCGAAGAGGGTTGACTTTACGCGAACATTGGTGATAAAGTGAGGCATGGTAAGGCGAGAAATGCATGTCCCCTTTTGCAGTGTTTTCTATCTTCTGCATGGGCGGATCCTCTGTTTTCTTCAATCATCTCCCTGCGGGCCTCCCGAATGCAATCTCGGTCAGATTCCTTCCCGGTCCAGCCTTGCGGGAATGCGGCTCGGTGCCCAATGAATTGATGTCTCATCTCAGCTCGCTGCCAAATCCGAAAAGCGGCCACATCGACATGTTTAAAAAAGCACAGTAACCCCTGCATTGCGTATTTGCGACTGGGTCCTCAAACGTCTACTCTGCATATTCAATTAGGAAGAGCTAACAGATCGATGTGGCCTCGAAGACCATACAAACTTGGAACACCGACGAGAATGATGTTGATCGCTTATGCGGATGCTGATGTCGCACTCGAATAAAAAGAAGGGCAAAGTTGTATCACATTTCAACCAGGCGCGAGGCGTAAATCGTCTGAGCCTTGTCAAGCTCAGGAAATCTATGGCTATACACCTTCTCGCCTCGTATGTGCAGGTGGTTTCATCTTATACACAGCCTCGCGGGTGCCAGAAATATCCGCACACGCCAAGAAGTCTCTCCACCTTATCAGCTGAGAGATCTCGATGATTATTCTCTTCAAGGATAAACTTTTGCGGAGCGATCTATTTGTATTGATGAGGTCCTTTAATTATCTCGCAAGAACCTTCAGCTAGGGTTCTTAATCGTGAAATTATCATCGACTTTTCAATTTCTAGATGTGTGGATATTTCTGGCACCCGCGAGACAGCCTCGTTATGCAGCTGACAAGGTGTAAACCTCCTTCGCAAGACTTCCGCTGATAGGACTAGCTGAGCTAAACGTATGAAGACACATAAGCCTTGACTGCCAACACTTGAAACATGATCCGAATGTCTCGGGTAGATGCGTGTCGATTAAATAAATAGGCAAATATGTGAATCTAAAATGATCCATGAGCGTGGAGACTGGAGCAAAAAGATAGAGGATCAAGTTTCGTCTCTTGACTGATTCACGCACATTCAATAACCGATTGCAGCCTTCACGTTTCTCATCCCTCAGCTTTTTCTATCATTCATCAGCCTTCGCTCACTTTGCCCAGAAATGCCCTCCATCATATCTCCCTTCACAGATCAACATAAGAACATTGCTTTCGACCGTGCCAGCAGAATGCGCAGTCTCCGCCATCGCACACTTTCCAGTACAATCGCTTTGCCACTGGTCCTTCTCGTCTGCTTTGTGTTCTACACCCTCAAAACTCCTACCAAAGAGTCTTCCCCTTTCCTCTTCAGACTTCAACCCGGCCATCACCTACCCATATCTCCGTTGCATTCCGCCGCCGCACCTAAAGCGCGACAAATCTCCCCTGCGGAACTAATGGCACGGCCTCCTCCGCACTCAGGACCACACATGCCCAAGCTTCTTCATCAGAGCTGGTCCACTACCATCCTCCCATCAAAGTTCGAGCAGTGGAGCCTCTCATGCAGAGATATGAATCCGGACTTTGAATGGGTGCTGTGGACAGACGAAGATAACCGCCGTTTGGTGGAGAAATACGCCCCGGAGTTCCTGGTCAAGTACGATGGGTTGAAGAGCGAGATCTACCGCGCAGATGCGGTAAGGAATTTGTACATGTTTGTTTTTGGCGGGTGAGTTTGCTGCTCTCTTCCGGCGGGCGGGGTGGAACAGTGGGGGACATCACTGATACCGCGTTTTGAAGGGTGTATGCTGATCTGGATACTGAATGTTTGCGTCCTTATGAGGCCCTTTTTGCGCAGCACAACATCTCCTCCAGCTCGCAATCAGGTTCCACCAGCATTCAGAATCCTACACACACTCCTACTTCCGACGCCGCGCCCATCTCTACATTTCCCACTACCTCATACAATGCAGGCCCACAGACGGCCTTCCTCGCCCGCATGGGCGCTGATAATTCGAAAAAACACAGCATCCCGAACGCTTGGTTGGCTTCGACGCCGTCCCATCCCTTCTGGCTCCTGCCTCTGAACCTAGTCTCTAAGGGGACCAAACCCTACGGCGATTGGCCCGAAGCAGTGACCGGACCGGACGCGCTGTTCTACTTGGTCAATGAGTATTTAAGGGAGTATCGCAGTGATAATGATTATGGAGCGAGCTTGGATGAGTTTTTGTTGAAGAGTGAGTTGAAGGAGATGTATGTTCGATCTTTAGGCGAGAAGAATATCAGAGCCAGTGCTGAAGTCGGGATGCATCAGTTGGTGCTGTTGGGGAAGGAGATGATCTTTCCGTATTGGTGGGGCGAGAAAGAGTTGGAGGGCGTTTGTAAGGCTGGTGAGGAGGGGTTTGATCCAGAGACTTGTAAGGATGTTCTGGATGTGCAGGCCTTGGGCAGTTGGTCTATAACATATTGGAGTCATTCGTGGGATCAGGAGGGTGGGCACGACGAGGGACACCTTAGCGCGATGGGAAGTTGGAGCTTTCGGGGAGCAAGAATGTTAAGGAGGGCGACAAATAGAAAGAGGGGGCGATGAGACTTGTTGTGAGCACAAAGGTTGAAAATCCGATAGGAAAACACGATGGGTAATATCACGGATTGCCACAATCCAATAGGGGGCGAAGTCTACCTTGGACAATCCTCTTGTACAGGTAGAGTAGCCACCAGCCTTCTGATACAGAACCGGCGTGGCGATTGACCCGTCGACAAGCGACCCCAGACTGCTCCCTTCGGTATTACTAATCCTCATCTAATGCATGATTGTTAGAGTCCATCCATTCCTGCAATATTCCTTATAAATGCCTCCGCAAAAAAAATGAAACGTCATGAAAACATCGCCTACCGTAATAGGTTCAATAAAGCCTCTTCGTACGGAGATGAGATGCGAACTCGGAGATATCGTCCCATGATGCCAACACGCCTTTCCACATCCGACTGGAAAGGTGATCGTACTGGACATAAATCATCGAGGACCGTAATCGCAAGATCAAGTCCTGTTGCTTTTTCCTTGTGCACATGCTCGGCGAATGGATATTTCCAGTGATAGGGTCTCGAGCGCTTGTGATTCAGGTGAGACCGCCCCAAGTATGTATCTGCTAGGCGGACACTGATGTAAATCCAGCGCTACGATTCTGATCCCTAGTGTGACAAGAAAGGTGTCATTCGACGAGAAATATTTACGGGCGGTGGAAGTTTACGGCAGCGATCTTACGTAGAATGGTATCCTAACAAGCATTCGTCTGGGCCATTAACCCGACTCTTTATCCATCATATTCAATCCCTTTAGCTCATTCGATCGTCTCAGGGCCTCTCCCTCCGAAAGACGCGCACTCGCAATCCCCAAATCCCACTTGTGCCACAACACGCCGAGTGACCTATCAGCTTCCGCCGCAACCGCAGCGGCAACCTTGACCCAACATGGCCCATGTCCGGTCAGCCCCTCTGTTTCCACAGTCCTGTGATGACACCCCTGAGACGCCACTGGGGCGCTGTAGAGGATGAGGAATGCATGGATCATCTCGTGCAGCAGGGTGTCCAAGTACTCATGTACAAGTTTGTGTGTCCAGAGCTGGTTGGGCTGCCGTTTGACCTCTATCTGGATCTCTCGTGTCGCTGAGGATATGCATGATTCTTTCCTTTTGGTGATCCCTACCCAGCCAGAGTTTGCAGGCGTATCATCTGCCAACTTGACTTTTATGTACTGGCGCAGAGCGCCAAGAAAGAAATAGTCGTCGAAGATATCAACGAAGAAATCGAGAGGAAGTGGCTGCTCCTCTGTGCTTTTTCCGAACTTGAATCGGAAAGCGTGCCAACGAATCAGTGCACTCAGCTGGATCTCCTCAAGCCCCTCGTTGTCATCTTCTTGAATCTTCGTCCAGTAATTGGCAAACTCAGTGGTCAACTCCTCGCATACATACCTTGGTGGAACGGCGGCAGGCTCCAGGCGCTGACTTGCATCTTTGCGAACGAGAGGGCGGGGACCCAGACTGGTGAGCCAGCTCTTGAGCAAATATTGCATTTAATGGCTATTGTGATGGGAATCTGGGGGGTCTTTCTCAGGTGGAGACTAATCTGGTGGCAGCAGGCTCGAGTTCAAGTGATATTGTTGTTCGTACACCGAGAAGTGGTGAAAGGACTTTTAAGAAGCTAGCAATGAAAGGCATATATGGAAAGTGGAAGAGAATCTTGGAAAGGATATCTCGAAGTGTGTACGACACATGGCGCAAATCAGTGAGTGTCAAGGGTGTTATCATGAGTCAGCCTCCGCGGCATTTCTTGGCTTTCGATGTCAAGATGTCGACCTGCATCTTCCAGTAGCTTCAACACTTTACTGATGACTTGTATCACACCAGACAAATACTGTTTGTGTTGAAGAGAGCAGACGCGTGAAGCCGAAAAACAAAGACTAGACGAGCGAAAACCAAAAAGACTTGACTTAGTATCATTACGTGTCAAACACCAAGAAATCTCGGAAACAATGCAAAGAATGGTAGTCTGATCCCACGCCTGTGATATGACATGTCCGTCCAAATGCATAACCTTACGTGTTCACCTCATATAGTCTGTACACAGTATGTCTGACTCGTAGATTTGACAAGACCAACTCTTAACATTTCTCAGCTTTCTCCTTGACTCAGAAAGGCTACTCATCTTCTGTCAACAACAGATGCCAACATATACAAATAAATGGGTGGAATCATATCGTTGCCGTCTTGTTCGACTTGGGCCGAAAAATACATTGCTGCGTCATGTTGCACAACATTCTTCTACTGCTATCCCATAATTGTGCCTCCATGTAGGTTCTGCCATCTCCACCAGTGACTGTACTCATCTCTCGCAAACTCCACGCATTTCACGTCCACATCGTTGGTGAAAATCCTCAGCGCAAATTCTAGGCTCGACTGGGCCGCTACCTCATCTAAAGACTGACCGTTATGCAAGGCAGGAATAAGAGCCCCATATCCATGACAAAGGCAAAAGCGGGGGCGTGTTGTGTTGGAGTCTTCAAAAGTGCTTTGATCGGAAGTAGTCCGAGGTTGTTTACGAGGTAAGAGAGAGGTGATCCTGTGTTGTAGGAGTACGCTTCTTCGCCATCCCTGTGAGGTTCTGCGTGACGATTCCTTCGGGACATGGACGACGGTCGAAGGAATACTCACTAAGACCAAAGAGTTCTCTGTGCATCTGCACCACTTTCCTACTGACAAGACCACGCTCCCAAAAACTTTAACGGTTCTCATCCACAGTTGGACCGTCTTCCACGGCACTATAGACAATTCTCGGTGATCTTGAGTACGTAAGCAGAGTAGCTGGCTCAGCGATCTGGCAGTCGGCGCTCGGAAACAGACACAGTCGTCTCTTCCCATCTTTCTGCCATTGACTCATCTCTACGTGTCGAGTGGCAAAGGTCTTGGTAAGGCGGATCTCGCGAACAGTACACTGCATTTTGCGGTCACAGGAATTTTCCGGGTGCTGAATAGGAAAAGAAGCCGGAGTGTACCTTTTTGGAGTGCTGCGTTGACGGCTACGGTGAGGGTGTTTCCGCCGTACGCTTGATCTGCCATATTACCCATCTTCTCGGGGTTGTGAACGGATTCAAACATGCTAGGAGTTGCCTGCCGCACGGACACCAAGTCGGTGATGGTGCTCGCCAAGAAATGTGTCAAGAAGCAGAGAGATACGGTACCATGATTCACATTCTTTTTCGAAAACAACCTCGACAACGAAGGTCTTTTCCAAATAAAATCACCCATGGCGCTCACCGAGTTCTTACAGCCCATAAGGGTTCGAGAACGGAGATTCATACTCAATGATGGAGATGCGCCGCTTTTCTGGCATCCTGCGCTGGACTGGCACCAGCTTGGCGAAGCTGAGTGGAGGGCGGATTGGGAGAGGTATCAACAAGTCGCCGACATGAAAAAGGTTCGAGTACATTGTGCTTCGAAGGCAGACATCGAGAAATATGGGCAGCAAGGGATACCTCAGACGTAATACGAAAGAGTAATGGCATACCATACGTCTATACTAGACAAAGCTTTGAGGGGATGGGAATGGCCGGCGGCAGACGTTGCGACACTCCACTTCATCCATACTCTCCCATAGCTTAAGACTGTGTCGGACTAAGTAGAAAAGGATCCAATAAAAAAGCTCATTCAACAAGATTTCCCTTGAAATCTCCTAATCCTGGTCGGTTCCTCTGACATCGATGGTAAGGCCTTATCAGAAATCCCCGTACTGCTCACATGACATATGAGACTAATCTCTATGCCCATAACATTATTCCTTCTAATACTGTGTCGTTATTCCATGCTCGTTAGCCGAGGTTGGACTAGGGAGGTCCGTGCTACCAATTTGAATTGAGGAAGCGAGCTGTATTTGGGTCGGTTACGCTGACTAGCGCTACTACCTTACGCTTCAAGCGTTGCTTTGCGTTAAGTATCTTCTTTGGTATGACATTGGCGTATGGTTGGCGGTCTCCTGTTTCGACGATGGCAGATGAGTTTGTTGAGATATGTGCCATGGAAACGTCTATGGGATAGGCAGGTAGGTTGTTGATCAAGAGTTTGAAGAACATCTGAAAGCGAGCTGGGCTGTGATAGCAAAGAAAGGTGAGGCGGTCGCTTGTACCATAGTATAAATGTTATCAAGTCTTGGGGTGGAAGCGTTGGTCATAAGCAGAGCGTTACTAGCGCCGAATTCGATGAGTATCTCTACGTACAGTAGCTCACTTCTCATGCAGTACATCGCCTATCGGTTGATATTCTTGATTTGCTGATATTTGTTCACTGTGTCAATCTGGATTGTAGACGTCGAGACGTGTATAGTGCCATACGAACAGCCTTCGTAATTATTCCTGTTACCAGTGATGGAGTTTTCATGATGCATCTCCTCCTCAGGAATGCCCTTTGATATCAATCTTGTACGCGCCCCAGCCCAATTCGCTGCAACATCGACAAGCTAACATACACAAGCTTGTTCGAATCCGGATGATACCACTCAGCTTTGAACGGCGCTGTAAACCCTGTCCTCGCATTGGCCAACAAGTTATCAATGATCATCTCGTACGCCGACCATGTAAGACCTTGATCCGGATCTGCGGCCCTGAACGCCAATAAGACGCTGCCCATGGTAAAAGTGAAAGCATTTCCAGGGGCAGGTCTGTTTCGGAATTGGTTCAGGGCTATCCGCCGGAGACAGCTGGTATAGAATTCCTCAAGCACTGAGGCCGCGACTTGGACAGGGATAATGAAGCTGAAGTACTGGCGGTATCTGATCTCCCAATCGCGAGCGTTTGTGGTCTGTATGGGTCCTCCATTAGGAAGTGTACGTTCAAGTAGATGGACTTCCCGGGCTTGCGAAACGGATATGTCCGGGGATGGAGAGGACGATTTCGGGGAGACGTGGTTGTGATGGACTGAGGATTTAGATTGGCCGTGGTCCTCCACAGCAGAGAAAAATGCAGATGTTGCCGCTAGCGCAAATAGGAGAACAAGAGTGAAGACACTCCCATTCGCTGTCTTGAAAGCATACATTCTCGGATTTGGAAAATTTCTTTTGCGACCCCGTGGTAGCCCTCCTGAATCCTTTAAATTAGTGTTCTAAAGTGTTCGAAGTACGGAGGTCGGCACCAAAAGTCCTGGACAGCGCTAAAATACTTGGCACTCTTGGTATTCTTGGCACTTTCTGTATAGTTACATTTATTTAACGATAATGCTTTATATAATTGCGTATATACTTATTAGCTCGCTCGGCGAAGTCGTATAATCGTATATTATCTCCTCTACGATCTTTTCTATACTCGTTATTATCTTTAAGACGTATTATCTTTATAATATATCTTAATATTTACTTTATTTACTTCTAAATTCTCTTTTAAATAAACTTATAATTTTAATAATATAATTATTATCTTTCGACTTTCTTATAAGTTCTTAATATATCTTTTCGAATAATATAACGTTTTATTTATAGTTAATAAGATTATAAGACTTAATAAATATTTAAATTTAAGTCTTATTATTATAATTTATACTTAAGTATTAAATATATTAATAAAAGATAATTAAGATAAAGGATAATAAGAAGATTTCTATTTATTATACTATATAAATAAGACTTATATATTAAAAGTCTTTATACTCTTTCTCTATTAATTATTTCTTTACGCTATAATTAATACTTTAATATTATCGCTATTATATATTATATTAATATCGCTATTATATATATGCTTCGTATATCTATACTTCGTATATATGCACTTCGTATATATATACTACGTCGCTATTATATAGAGCACTAGTACTTATTAAAATAAAGAATAATGATACTATCTATGAAATTTGGAAGTATGTCAAGCACTCAGCCCTACCTGGACCCTTGTCTTGGTATGTCCAGGACTTTTGGTGCTGACCTCCGTACGCCTTGACGCGAGCTATTTCTTAGGAATCTGAGCGCTTTGCGGCAAAGCGCTTATAAATATCGCATATATTCGCATTTAGATCGAACGTCGTACTGTGCACTGTGCAGGTGGTTGGGGGAAGTATTGTAAGATCTTGTGTTATATTTTTCCCTCCTCCTTCTTATCGACCCAATCTCAAACCAAGCAGAATAGACTCTCTAATGCGAAGCGACGTTTAAAGTATGGTTCCGAACATTGGAGACTGGGAGTGGAAAGGCGGGTAAGATAATCGTGTCTACCCCCATTTGCGCCCTACCCTCATTTGCACCCTTTTTAAATCCCATAATTCCAACGTCTACTATATCAGGCCTATAGACGGCGACTATAATACTGTAGCATTGGCTATTATGATAGACTATGGTAGTAGGCTGTTTGAATAAATAATAGTGGTAGCCATGATAGTGGTAGCCATGGTAGTGGTAGCCATCTATGTCGGATTTAAAATGGGCGCAAATGGGGTAGACACGATTACGGGGAACGAAAACGTTCAAAGTCAAAGCACGAGAATACCAATCTCTTTCTGCCGGACAGCGACAGGGATTTTGCGCTGTGGAACTAGGTGCTCGTTTTGAAGCATATGCACGAAACTTGATTTCATGTCGAACGCGATGCGCTCACCAGGGTCCACACGACGCGAACAACCCAACTTGGAAGTGTTGAGGAATATTGTATTGGTTCCAGCATTCGGACTGGAACTCGGGGCAGCGTAGAAGGATGCTATAACCGTGGCGAAACAGAGAATGTACTCTAGAACACGAGCGCAAGTGTTCAAGGCTGAAAAAGCACTCCAGGCAGCTCGAATGTGATCGTCTATCCTTTTGCCTCCCGACCACATAGGATCTCACTGGTTCACGCACTTCCCAATTACAAAGGCCATGCAGGACGAGGAAACCACCAAAACGAGCATCCGTCCAATCAAATAGGGGCGGCTTGAGGGGGTCTAGCGGATTGTGGTACAGTCATACTGTGATACCAATCCAGCCGGCTATCACAACAACGCTTACCGCAGCGATGGATATGAAACCTCGAATTCGTCGACTTCCGATCTTTTTCTTGTCCAGTAGAATACCGATCCAGATGGCACCTAAGCTCTGCATCTGTTTGGAACACACTGGACTGAGAGACCGTCTCCGGATGTTGAAGTAAAAGGCTGCATGAGAGCATAAGTACCGAATCTCCACCAAGTATGGGAAACTGGGGTTTGAACTAACAATTCAGTGTGGAAAAGACAGTGACGACTATTCCACTTCCAAACAAGGGGACAAACAGAGCCGATAGCCTCCAACCCCTAAAAAGTCTGCTTTGAGCTTTTAGCTTATACCAGAATCTGAGGATCCCTCTTGAGGATGAAGATGGTACAATGGTGAAACAAGCGACAAAGAAGCCTGAAGCCATGAATATATTGAACACGACGTAGACGGAGACGGGAAAGAGTGCAGACGTCGGACAGGCGTCTCTTCTTCTTCTTCTTCTTCTTCTTCTTCTACAGGAAACGCTAGCTGGAGTTCCTCAAACTGCGTCTGTTAAGCCTTTGGTGATCGCTAGCGATTCAATTGAAACAAACGTCGCTAGCCATCCAATGAAACCAGACACTTTCAATGGCAAGATTGACGGCTTCAAGAATGGAATAAATTCGAAAGGTAGGGATGAGACTCCATTGGACCTTGACTTTTGTCTTGATATACCAGCTGACCAAGTCCGCGATATCTCTAGCAAATATCACCATGGTACCCTTATCAATTCATCTGCAAGAGCTGTGACCGGCCATGATTGGGACGCTAGCCACAATATTTAGACCCACGCTTCACATGGCTATGGTGCAATGCATTTCATGATGACGATCTGGACGATACTGCATGGGAGACAAGCTTTGAGTTGCAAGTTCCACCAGGCTTAAGATTGGGGATGCTGTGGTCTGCATGTCGACGATCGGGTCACACAAGACATCATACCATTCTTTGTAACACCAGATCTGAATATTACCAAACCGCCACTTGTTGCTCTGATCATGCCTACTTTCACGTACTTGGGTAAGCCAGGCAAACCATTGCCTCTCTGAACTAGGTACCAATTTGGAACAGCATATGCAAATGAGCGTCTCTACGACGAGACGAGAGAGATTCATTTCGCAGCCGAGAAAGTGAAACAGGACAGATACTTCGACACCCTCAAGGAGCGCGCTGACCTTAGTATCTTGTTGTATGATGGCCACAGCAACGGTTCAGGTACTTGCCCCCCCTCTCCAAACGGCCAATTCTCAACATGAGACCTGACTAGTCATTCTGGGCTCACGGAGGCCTGAGAGGGTTTATGACCGATTTTTGGTACATCGGCTTCCTCGAGCGCGAAATCGGCTCACGAGGCTACAATCTGATCACAGACCACGACATTAGTGAATATGGTGCACCGCTACTGAAGCGATACAAAGTCTTGCTCTCGGGTAGTCGTCCAGAATATCCAACTTACAACATACTGAACTCCTACGCTTCTTTCCTCGAGGATGGTGGGCACTTCGTGTATCTCGGCGGCAACAGATACTACTGGATGACTGCATATGATCCGTCCCGTTCCCACCGCATAGAGGTTCGTCGTACCGACCAAGGCTGCAGAACAATTAGCCTACCCGCAGGCAACAGGCATCACTCTCTTACCGGCGAAATCGGAGGTCTATGGCGTACCAGAGGTCGTCCACCAACCCAGCTATTTGGCATTGGGTCATGCGCCATGAGCGTAGCTGATGGAGTCGGATACGGCATCACAGAAGAAACACGGTCAGATGCTAGGCTGGCATTCCTCTTTTACGGCGCTGGACTTGAGACTGCAAAGAATATTCGAGACCTCAGACTTGTACAGGGAACTGCATCTGGAGATGAGATTGATCGTCTTGACTACGGAAATGCTGTGATTATTGCGGCGAGTAGGCTTGCAGGCGGTCATTCGGATGAGTTCCTCATGTTCAATGAAGAAAGCATGTTTCCTATGACGAACGCCACTGGCACGACTTCTGACAAGATACGAAGTGATCTGGTCTTCTACCAGACTGCCGCTGGAGGGCGCGGTCTTCTCGGTGGGTCCCATGAACTGGGTTGGTGCCTTGGCATGGATGAACTATGAGAACAATATTGCACAGATCACTCCGAATGCGCTGCATGAGTTCACTCGTAAAGGGGAGTTGGCAGGGGTTTAGAAGCATTCGCATTCTTTGGCAGCTGGGTCTGAATAGTACTGGGTATGTGCAAGTAAGAGGATGAAAAAGCTGCGCAAGGCCAATCTCCGCCGTGTGAGTCACAATTGTCAATCAATTCATTACGACGCATACGCATATCCTCGATTTTATAAATTCCGCTTTTGACAAGACATAAGTGCGGTTCCCGTTGGTCAGACCTTTACGAAGCACCAGACTTAAGCGTGGATAGGGACGAAGCAATGGAATGTCCATTACATCAGACCTGGTAATAGGAAAAAAAGAAGAACACAAAACACAAAATACAAAGATGTCCATGATGAATAGACGAGTGACGCGCATATATTGTTATTCTATTCTTGAGTTGGTGGAGATACTTAAAATAGATTCTGCCAAGAGCCAATCTCGTATTCAACCTGGAGCTATCGATCAAGGCTGATGCTCGGGTATATCATTGGTGGCTTTCATCTATGATAGACTGCCAAGAGCTCCAACTTTTTCGCAGATCTAACCAACATCCTTGGCTAGCTTATGACTTTCGCGATTTAGCACACAGGCAGCATGGCGGAGCACGCTGGCTACGACAAGCTTCATCATGCCTATACTTTATTCCCATCATCTTTCTTCGTCCAGAAAACACTGTTACCTTTTCTTTCAGCAGTCACTCGTTACCGCGCGCCATTCCAGCAATTCCCACCAAGTCCTTTCGCTTTGTCTACATTTCCCATCTTCAGTCCCTCGACCATGGCACGCCCTTCGCGCTCCGCGATGTACGCCGACGATGCCACCTTTCTTTGGAAAGCCATACTGCGCTTCCTTGCCATTCTCCTCGCCATCGTTGGTATAGCCACCACGGCATGGGCGATGGTATCGCACATTCAAGGCCCCACTACCGACACAAACTCTTCTTATGCCAATGGCTACGAAGACGACTATTTCCCCAGCGAAGCTGTCTACTTACCTTGGCAGTACATCACGCTTGGACTCTCCATTCTTTGGAACATAGCCAACATTTGTACACTGCTCGTGCGTAATCGCGCAATCCACCCCGGCGCCAACGTAGCGTGCGACCTACTACTGTGGCTGGGGTTGTTGTTTACGGGCGCATTTGCGACTATTGGCGCCACATCATATAGTTTCTATACTGCGGGCGATGATGATAGCTATGAGGATGGCCTGGGGTATGGAGGTGGGACGTATAGTAACGGGACGCAATTCGACTACACGGCGAATGGGACCACTGTTCCTGCGACGAATCAAAATCAATGTGGGGGGTTCACAACTTGTGCTGCGAGGGATCAGTATGCTAGCGCAATACGGCATAAAGGAGTGGTGGTAGCAGTGGGCGCTTCGATGGCTTTTGTCGTTTTGTAAGCCTACTTCCACCCTTTCTTCCTTTTCTATATGCTCCACTCTGCACTCATCCCCTTGACCATCATTTTTGGTTCAAAATTTTCTCCCTCGAAACTGCTAACCCGCAGCGTTCAGACTCTTTCATTTCGCTCTCTTCATCTCCGCTTGCCGCTACACCAACGACCGCCGCCAATCCGTGACCAGCAGACAAGCTAGAGCCATCACGGCCGAAGCAACAGAAATCGCACGTAAAATGATCGCTGACATGACCGGTCCGAATGGCGGTTTCATCCCAATAAACCAAGCTCAGCGGGGAGGTAGTTATCAGCCGTTACAGCAGAACGAGGCAGGGGAGGCCATGGAGATGAGGCAGCGGCAAAGCAGGACTCAGCCAGGATACGATTATCAGCCTGTTCAGCAAGGAGAGGTGGAAGATGGTCACGGAGAGCAGCTGTCGCGCGAGGATGGTATGAGCAGACGGTATGAGCAGACGGCTCCGATGTCGCCAGCAGCGGAGGCTTCGTCAATGGCCGTTAGAAGAGGCACACAGAGGGCATTTAGTGGGCCGAACGGAGAGACGCATCCGGCTCTGAGGGATGATCCAGATATGATCTCGCACGCAATATAGGACGAGAATTCTCTCTTTGGCCGGAGATAGGTGTCTAAAGGTTCAGAGTAATGCCCGTTTCTGCCCTTGAGAGTATGAAGATAAGCGTTGAAATTGCATAGCATAGCGACGCGGGCTGCCGTTTGAGTATTGTGGAGCCTGGTACCAGAGTGCATCGGATTGGATATGCAAGATACCCACTTATATAAAGCCTATAATTATAATAATAGCTGTCTTTTGCGTTAGCGTGTCTAGTTCCTTCATGTTCTATGCATGCGTTCCTTCTACATCCTTCCATGTATATTCCATCATTGTTTCTTTCATATAGCTAGCCATAGATAGCAGTGCTTTATTCTCCATTAGCTATATAATAGCTAATGACCCCACTACTAAATCTATATACTTTCTATTATTATTATTACTATACTACGCTAAGAGATTATAAGCTCTCGATTAATGCTAATAATATATTAATATTTTAATTATATTAAATTTTAAAAAATATATATATACGTTCTTCTAGCTATAATGAGTAAATTAGAATAATAAGATAATAAAGATTAATAGTCTATTATATTTATATTAGAGAAGTTATAGAAATTATATAATCTACGAACTTAGAAGATAAATTAAATAAAGTCTAAATAGTTATAGTTTAAGAAGATCTTTAAATTCGCTATATTCTTATTAATAGTTAATATCTCTATACTTAAGAGAGTATTTAATTAAGATTACTAATATTAAATAATATATAATTACTATTAGATAGCTAGAATATATTTAATTCTCGCTAAAATACTAATTTAATTATAAGAGAATAAAGAGTATAATAAATAAAAGTTTATTAACTTATAAATTAAAGATAATATTTATATATGTTACGGATTTAGTGTGCTTTAGGGGATTCTTGCCGTTTAGGCAGGGGTCCACGCTCTTTTGGCCCTGCGGTTAGCGATAAGGCACGCTTTTCCGTGACAAATGGTAGCAACACCGGTTCGATTCCGGGTGTGACCCGGACAGTCTGAATAGGTTACTTGGCTGCACTCGGATTTGGTGGAGGCTCATAACTTCCGTGCCTTTCTGAAGCTGTACGCACCAGGCTGCAAGTAGCTTACGGGGTCACACCTGGGGGGTTCCTAAATTGACATGCGTGTAGGCCAGCGCATGGGGACATGCGCCATTTTTCGAAGTGTGCAATTGTTACGGATTTAGTGTGCTTTAGGGGATTCTTGCCGTTCAGGCAGGGGTCCACGCTCTTTTGGCCCTGCGGTTAGCGATAAGGCACGCTTTTTCGTGATAATATATCTCTTAAGTTAGATAGCTATATCTATATTATAGATATTTATAATATATATAATATAATTAAAGTACTCGAAGATATATATAAATTTAAAGGATATATCTCTTATAAAGTATTATAAAGAATTATTAACTATATAAGCTTAGCTAACTATAAAGAAGTTACTAAGTACGTTAAGATAATTAAAAAGATTAAAATAAAACTCGCTAAGTTAGATTATTAATATATATGAAAGATTATAATATCCTTCCTTTATAAACTTCTCTTCTCTTACGAATTATTTATAGAAATCGTCTTAAATAGTTAAGATAAAGATATTAATGAAAGACTATTAGAATTAGATTTCGACTATATTATCGAATAACTTCTTAATCGAGAACGTCGTCAGAAACTAATTAGTATTAATGACTTTAATAATAAAGTTATATTTATAAATAATAAGAATAAAAGAAATAATAGTAAGAATCGTAATAATAATAATAATTATAAAATTACTTTTTAATCTAAATATAACGACTATAATCTTTATTATAATAGAATTTACTAACTATTTAATCTCGATTAGACCTTCGCTAAGTAAATTAAAAAGAATAAGAATTATATTAAGAAATTTAAGAAGAAGAAGAAGACTAGTAAGCTTATCTCTATCGAATTTATCGAAAAACTAAAAATAGTAAGAGCGGCTTATACGAAGGCTATTACGATATTATATAATAACGACTAATATTTTAATAATACAACCTCATTTTATATAATATATTTTAAAGTCTATTTTATTAAGAAATTAATATCTCTTAAAAATTCTATCTTAGTCGAGACTGTTAATAAAAGAATATTAGAGGATATTATCGTAGATAATATTTTATTAAAGACTCTTATTAAGAATAACGACGGCGAGAATAAAGAATATATACTTATACTTATAAACGTCTACTATATCGAAGATTTATTTATAAATCTACTCTTCCTAGATATATTTTAATATAATAGTCTTATTTATATTAGAAAGAAAGATTATTTAAGAGTCTATAATAATAATAATATTATTATTTTTAAGAGAGAATTAATAAATATACTTTATAAGCTAAGACTTATATTATTTAAAGTTATAATAATTAAAGAGATCGCTATAACCGCGATTATTAAGAAAGCTAATTATTAAAAGATAATAGTTATTAAATAATATTAAGTATTAAACTATCTAAATTTTAATAATATTATTAAATTATCGATTATAATAAAGAAAATAAAAATTATAGATAATATTAAAAGATAATTTTATAAGTTATATATCTATAAAAAATAGAAGAAGATCTTAGATCATAAATTAATAATTAAGATAGAAAATACTTTTAATAATATTTATATAGACCTCTTTAATAGCGAATTAATATTACTTTACTTTAAAGAAGACTATTATTATTACTTTATAAAGATTAATTAAAAAACTTAATTTCGATAGATAGACTTCTTGAAAATTAAGGACTAGATATTTAAGTTACTATAAAACTTCGTTATTATAATTAAAATATTATTCTATATTATTTTTAAATATATTTATTTTAATAATAATAGTAAGTATAATAATAAGAAAACTTGAGATTAATTAGCTTTTTAAGATATATGATAAGAGTTAACTATACTCGATTCATCTAAATAAAATAATATTA